ATCACTCAGGGGTCTTGAAGGAAGTGGAGGCAGCCAGTGTGGGAGGTGAGCTCATGCAGGAATGCTGGCTGTGGAAAACAGCCTCTCCTTGCTCAGCCCCAGTAGCTCTTGGGAATTCCCAGGACGGGTTCAGAGGCGCAAAATGTCTCCTCAAGACAAACCTAAATTCCATCGTTAGGAAATACATTTTCCCCAATGACCATTATGATAACTCCACTCAAAGAACAGCTGTCACAAGAAGTATACACCTTTGAAGAGATTCAGTCTTGGCCCCTGATGCCTGGGTCCAGGTTCAAGGCTCCCATCTAATGGGCCCCACGACCCATCTCCAATTTTCAACAACCCCCCGTGCGCCCCAGTCTCCCTCACTCCTGGGCCCAGGGAAAGACCTCTTCTTTGTCTCCTTCTCATCCTATCGCCTAGCCAGAACACTAGTCTCACTGGCAACTCAAAAGCATTCCTGGGACTTGAGTCCAGCAGTTACAGGCCTGTGGAATACCCACTCCTGCCAGTACGGCAGGGTCACCTGGCCACACTGCCCCTTGGAAAACATTGACAAAACAGCCGGCACCAGTCTAGCACATCCGGTTATCCAGGTAGGCTAGTGGGTCCTCACTGCAGGGGAGGAAAGCTCTGGGGGGCAGTGTCACCTGCCCAAGCTCGCCCAGGTGATGAATGGTGGACTTGGCCCTCAAATCCAGACAGGTGTGCCCAGGCGCTCTCTCCAGAGGGGGAGGGCAGATGGCTCACTGGGCTAAGTAGGGCAGCCTGAAACCCAGGGGGGCCTCTGCTTCCCACAGCTGCTAAGCACACATAAGGCCAGAAGAATCCGGGCGGCTCAGAACATGGTGTCTGGCTAGGATCAGGGCTCTAAGGAACTCAGTGGAGGAATGAGTGGAGCCCCAAAGCAACCTCACAGGGTAACGTTAAGGAGGGGTCTCTCCCACACAAAGAAGGGCCAGGGCAAGGGGGTGTGCTCTCTGGCCAGCGACCTCAGGGGCCTGGTCTGCTGGCTCTGTGATCACAGAGCTGTGAGCAAGATCTTCTGGCCTTAACTTTCAGGAAGGTCAGGTTTGGTCTGCAGATCAACTTCTCGATGAAGCCACCCCCCAACTACACCAAAACTGTTTAGCAAGGGGAGCTGCGGAAGGTCTGACCTGTGCTGGGCCGAGCTCAGGACTGCCTGGCATCCTGGAGAAGCCCAGACTGAGTGGCGCCCAGGACTGGTCCCGCACAGCAGCCATTACAGACGCGCTACCTGCACATGGCATGATGCTAGCTGCTGGGCACCAGCAGGAGGGTAACACGGGGCTCTGCGGTGCAACCTTTGGGAAACTGCAGGCCTCAGACAAACATCAGCAGGAGGAAACTTACGAAGAGGACGTGATCCCCACACTCTGAGGACTTTCCATCTGAAATAGCACCTGACAGGCCACACAGCCCAAGAGTGCGCCTGCTGGGGGACGGGTTAGTCTATTTCCCCGAAAAAAATACACTTTTGAAAACTAACGTATGTACTTTATAAAAAAGGTATTCCCCTGAAAATAAAACAGCACAACCCCAATCCAGGAGTTAAAAGGGCTGGGTTTCAGATGCTGCACACACCCCAAGGGCAGTGTGACTTCCCTGGGGTCTGAGAGGACGCTGGGCCGGGCTAGAGGAAGCTGCCTCACTCACTTGCTTGGGGTGCCAGGAGCCTCGCAGGGGCCAGCTGCGGTCCTGCCTGTCTAATTAACCGCTTTGCCCCTCCTGCAGTGAAACCTGGCTCCAAGCTGATCCCAAGCCAGGGCAGCTGCAGAAGTCACATCCTGGGGTAGGACCATGAGAGCTCTGCCCCCTGCCCAGGTCCCAGCCTCTCTGTGTCCCCATCTCCGCTCCACCCCAGACACTCAGCATGTCAGGCCCCAACTCTGCCCTGCTCAGTGGCCCCATGAGAAGCGCAAACTCCTGTGCTGCTGCTGTTACCGCGCCCCCCAACAGGACCCATGGCCTTCTCCACCTGGCCCGCTGGACTTCCGCCTGGTGTGCTATCCCAGCTGTCTCGGCAGTCCCGATGCCTGCCCCTCCTTGGACGCCTGGCTCTGCCATCAGCAGAACCAGTCCTGGGACGTTCCCAAGAGTGGGAGAGCCCCATACACAGAAAGGGCTCACCAAATATGTGTGCATGGAGGGAACCCGCCACCCTTGTTGCGAGGGCTGAGGACTGGCTCTCCTGGGCAGGGAGGCAGTGGGGAGCCGGTGGAGGCATTTCTGGTGCCATCGTGAAGACCCTCCTCCACATCGTGAAGGCCTGAATAATGACAGGGCCTTGCTGGGCACCATCCAACGGGCTTCACATAGGCTGGCACTTCTAATCTTCACAAGAGCCCCGTGAAGCGGGTGCTAGTAATCGCTCTGTGTTCCAGATTTGGAAACTGAGGCACAGAGGTTAAGTGCTTTGCCCAAGGTCATTGAGCTAGGACGTGGGAAAGCCGGATATGCACCCAAACAAGCTCTGAGCCGAATCTCTCCAGGGGCTCGCACAGCTGCCTGACCTCCAAGCCTTTGCTTTGCCCAGAGGTGCCCCGGAACAGGACTGAGACTGGGGCCCTGGTCTTCAGACTGGTGCCACACGGGCCACACACATCCAGAGAGGAGGACTCGATTACGGGGCCACACTCAGCCTGTTGAGCAGCAGGGCAGGCTCTGAGGACCATGAGCCCCTGACACACACGTGGTGCCTCGCTCACGTCCCCCAGGGGCCTGAGGCTCTGTGCCGCACTCAGTAAGCATCCCGGCCACTGCCCACTGCAGCCCCCATGGCTCTTCCCTGAAAAAGTGCTCTCTAGGAAGGAGGCCCCAGGAAGGCAGAGGCCACTTTGCAGTCAACGTCCTTGTGGGGGAGGGAAGGGGCGGTGAGAGGGGAGGACAGCATGCTTCAGACGGGTGACTTTGAAGGAGGAGTCAGTGCTGGGGTGGCTGAGACACCCCACCCCTCCAGAGCACAGGGGCACGTCAGGGTAGTGAGGAGCACCCACAGAGGGGACGGCATCCGAAGCCGACAGCCACAGACCAAGGAGGCTCAGAGCCCGGCCGAGCTCCCCACACAGGAGAAGGACTGTGGTGGGCGCCCAGCTCGAGGCCTCAGGGGAGCTTCCAGAGAGGGGGCTGCCCTCAGCCAGGCTGGTCCCAATGGGGAGGGGGGGCCTCCAACCCGAGTGGGGACAGCTCTGGCTCCGGCTGAAACACCCCAGCTAGAGCTCCAACTCCAGGAGGCGATGGGCCTGGAAAATGGCGGGCGACCAAGCCTGAGGGGAGCACGAGGGTCAGCGCAGACGCACAGCCCATGTTCCGCAAACGGCTGCACTCGAAGGCCTCCCTGGGGGCTTCGTCTGTGGAACCCAGGCTTCCCCAGGACCCAAGGAGCCCACTGCACTTTGGCATTCAGGAACGCACACTTCTGGGCACAGCAGGTGGCTGGCGACGGGCTGGGCCTCAGGTGGGGGGAGTGCCGCGTGGGTCTGCAAAGGGTGCCGCCGAGACATCCGGCCACAGGAGGGCCTTCCCGTATTCTCTGTGACGCCAATTTCTTACAAAGTCACTATCATGCTCCTAACCGCTAACACATAACAAGCCCTCCACGTGTACCCTGAAAACACTGACACGAAATGCTTTTAGAGTTATACGCCTCTGGATCCAATGACGCTATTTTTAACCATCTTCTCAGACTTCATTTCCAATTTTATCCTATAAAGTTCTAATTGATTCCAACCCCCCTCCAATCTCCCACTTGATGAGGAGGTGAAAGCATGGGCGGGTGTGGCAGCTTCTGCTGGGTGTGAGGTAGGGGACTGTTTGAAGTCTTCGCATGCTCCTCGCAGCTCTCTCAGCACACGCCTTCTTCTCCAGGGTCAGCGGCTTTCGGGAATGTCTGCACTATGTGCCCACAGTCCCATCATCCCTGTCACCAATGCCAGCCCTTTCCCTTCAGATGTCCTCCCCTCAGTGGGTGCCAGGTGTGCAGTCCCAGCTGGGATGCTGTGATGCGCGTGGACCGCATGACACGAGGTGGAGGGGCTTTCCTCACCGAGCCCCAGGCCCATGACGCCACACTATTGCAGCTCCATTTCTGTCAGACGCCGGGGTCCTTTGCGTACCTCCTGCACTCTCACTCTACCCGAGCTGGCCCAGGAGAGGGGGGTCTGCACCCGGCACCAAGGACGGAAGGGGCCTAAGGGACTTTAAATCCCGCCTCGTCCCAACTTTATGACCCACGCCAGCCACGCTGGGCTTTGCCTGTGGCCTGGATGTGCCCAGGGCCTCCTCCAGACCTGCAGGCAGGTCACTCCCTCTGCCAGGACCACTCTCCCACCCCAGGAGATGCCCCCGCTGAGATGCCTGCAGTGCTGGCCACCACCTGTCGTCAGGGCATTTTGCTCTTACTGACACTGCTGCGCCCCGAGTCTGCAGTATGAACACGCATGCTCCACAGGGGGGCCCACGTCTGTCTCAGGAGGGTAGTCAGCGCCCCAGCTCCCGGGGCCACGCAAAGGTTCACCTCCTTTAATCCCACCACGAATGTGGGAGGAGCCCACGACCAGCACACCTCACAGGTAAACATGCCAGAGTTTGGAGATCCCAGGGCATGTCTCCACGTCACTCAGAGGACAAGCAGTGACAGCTCGAGCCCAGAGCCTGCACTCCCGGATGCCTGGGCTCCCGTCCCTGGGGTGCCCCCAGTAAAGAGTGGGATGAACCACCAGTGTTTCTTTCAAAGCTCTGTTGTGGCCCAGGCCAGCCCTGTGTGGGCACACCCCGGCAGGATCCAGAGCTGGTGATTCTGGGGTCCAGTGGCTTGGCCAAGGCTCGGATGGCCCTGCAAGCCAGGATGCCATTTCGCTAACTTGGACTGAAAAATGGGTCCATTATAATTGTTTTTAAAAACAGCACCTGCTGGCCAACCTCCGATGGCCCGAATGGCAGGCCAAATGCAGACGATGGCGAACTCGCATCACGCCTACCTGGGTGAGGACATCCAGCTGGCCCACGATGTGCTCCAGCGTGCTGGTCAGCGTCTGGGGCACGCTGACGGGCTCCTGGGGCCGGCTCCGCACTGACTCCGGACTCCTGCCTCTGCCTGCTGGGACGGGGAAATCCACCTCTGGCTAAAGACAATGAAAGGAAAGGCAGCCCTGTCTTAATTGAGTGCTCGAGGAAACCCTGACAGAGGAACAGCCCCGTCATAGAAGCAAGTGGAAAACCACCAGCCAATGTGAGAAAACAAGCTCCAAATGCTGGTGAGCAACAGCCGCGTGCCAGGACGCCACAGCCGGGCCGCACACCCGCCCCCAGGCCTTCCTTTCTGAGCAGAGGCCATGAGGAAGGTGCAGGTGGCCAGAGGGGCCCCGGGCTGCCTCAGACAAGACTCCAGGAACGCGAGGGGCTTGGTGTTTCGCCCAAGATCCCCAGGCCCCAAATACAGAAACCACTCCCCCAGTCCCACCACCACCGAGAACAAGTGATTTCCTAAGGGGGTTCATCCAGTCCACTGTCCCCCAAAAGTCGGGCGCTGTTCTGTGCACAGACAAAGGCTTCTTTCTCCCTACCTCAGGCGTCCCAGCACTCCTGAGGACACAGCCGGCAGATGCCCAGCTTTGATCTGGGAGCCTGCAATTCCTGGGGACTTGTTCCCCGTGGGAATGCCGTGCTCGGCAAGGCTCACACTCCTGGCCGGCCCCAAAGCCCTAGCAGCCCATCAGTGAAGCCGCACTGGGCTCAGGGTTTTAAACCACAAACTCACGGACATTCCAAACGTTACCATGTCACTCCCCAGCTTCACCAGTCCTTCAGGGCTCTCCACCGCCTTCGAGAGAAAACTCAAGCCCCCTGACAAGGCACCCTGCTCTGGGCCTGCCCCTTTCCACAGCTCCCCGTGGCCCTCTGCGCTGGGCAGGCCCTCATCCACGCCTCATTCCGCCTGCCCCGAGCAGCCTGTCCTCCACATACTTGGCAACCCCAGTCAGAAGCTCCTCTCTGCTCCCGCCGCCTGGACCTGCGCCATCCCTGCCCCGTTCCTCCCGCCACTGCGTCTCAGGGCCAGGACACCTGAGCCGCCCGTCTGTGTGTCTGTGTGCCTGTCCCAGTGTCCTGCCCACACTCATCACCCCTCGCCCCTGTAAATCTGGGACTCACTGGGCTCAGAGCTTGCTGACCACAGAGCTGAGGCAACTGCACGTTTTCCTTTATTAGGAAACGTTCTGATTGCACAGATAACAAACTCTCAGGTGCACATTGATCTGAACTTGGAAAAACGCAGGCCCTGGTAAGTAAAGAGAACTTGAACGTGAGACCCAGCCAGAGGGTATTCTTGAAAACAGAGTAGCACCATTCCCACATGGCCACCATCGGCACATCTGCTATGGCGCTGTGGCCACTGGGGAAGGCCTCAGCCCACCAGAGCTGGGCTCCTCTCGTCCTCCAGGAACCAGTGCAGTTCAGATCTCAATGCCAGGTGTCCATCCCAAAATGAGGCATTTCAGAAGCCTCGATCAGCCTTCACCTCACTGCGGTGGCCCTCGGACCCAGGAGGTCCTCTCGGAGACAGCTGAGTGCAGTGGGGAAAGCAGCAACTTGGCTGATATTCGAGCTCCACCACTGACTGGCTAAGGGGCCCTGGGCAAGAAAGGGGCTCAACCTCTCCGGGCTTCAACTTTGTCATCTGTAAAATCGGGGTGATGACTGAGCCTGCTCTTCAAAGGGCTGTGAGAAGCGCTTCTCTGAAATCACTCAGACATGGTCACAGCCCTGTGCCCACTGCTCCAGAGGACCCCAATTCCAGACATGCGTGCTCTTCCTCTGCACACCGAGTCCCCACGGCTCCCTGAGGAAGGGCCCCGAGGAAGGAGGGGGCCGAGCAGCCCAGCACCCGACAGCGCGCGTCCTCCAGAAGTGGTCCGACAGGTGCCGCCCGCTGCCTGGGAGCGGGCAATGAAAGTCTATTTCTTTAGAACAGCCCCGCAACTGACAGCGCCGAGCTGAGCCTCTGAAGCAGTGACAACGGGAGTGGCGGGGAGGTGGGTGGACGCTGAGGATGGCAGCCACGTGCCCGAGCCAGAAAAGTGGCCTTGGGAAGAGAAGGCCGCAGAACCGCCAGGCTTCCCCATATAGTCCAAGCTTCCACGGGCTGTGTCCATTTCACAATAAAGGAAGCTGAGGATCAGCCGAGGCGTGACTGTGGGGAGGCGCCCGGCCTCGAGCCTCACGCTCAAGTCCAGGTCCTGCTGCTGGGCCGTTCTCCGGCCGCGCCGTTTGGTCCCCGTCTTCCTTCACCACCAGGATGAGGCCCTCGTCAGCTTCCCTGTCCACTCCCATCAGCAGCCATTACCACACTCCACACACTGCGAGCCCAGCACAGAGAGAGGATATTCGCTGCTGTTTACCTGTCACCTAGGTGCCAGCGTTTTACAGGTCACTTCGTTGAAGCCTTACAATGGCCCTTCACAGCCGGTATTCTTAACCGTATTTTTCAGATGGGGAAGCAGCTCAGCGAGGTTAAATAACTTGTTCTAAGTTGCCCAGGAAATGACAGAGCTGGGATCTGAACCCAAAGTACAGGCAGGTACACCCTCTTACACCCCCATGGGGGCCCCCAGCCCCTGGTCTAACACTTTCTACGTCATTCCCCCATCCCACCTGCCCTGGGATGCCTGTCTGGCCCGGAGCGGAACACAGAGCAGGCCCTCCCCGAACACTCAACACCCCCAAGACCAAGGGCAGCAGCCCCGCCCCACGGTGTCGCAGCCACTCACCTGCATCCAGCACTCTGGGGACGTGGCGTTTCCCCGAGAGCTGGGCAGGCAAGCAACAAAACAGAGAGATGCCGGACAAGAGCGGGAAGAGACACATGGCCGGGGCTGAGTAGTGACAGCAGCGGGATAAGCGGAGCAGCGTAAGGGGAGAACCGTGTGAGCGTTCTGTCTGTCCAATATTCAAGGGTGCTGGGGGCCCTGCCTGTGGCTCTCAGTGAGGCTCATCACGAGTAAAATCACATTAATCTACTCTCACACCCATGGAGCTGCACCGTTTCTGCCAAATATAAACAGCTTAAACATCAGAAGAGAGAGAAAGGTGAAAGTCAAAATAGATGAACCTGGGATCTTAGGTGTCCCCTCTCGCCCTGGCCCCATGTGGGTCCTGGGCTCTCACAGTAGTTTAGTTTCTGCTTGCCTCAGTTCTGTTGCTGCCAGCCTGTCATGTGCCACCAGGAGCTCAGCACTTCACACACAGCAGGAATTGCCTAAGTATCTATGGTTGATCTCAGCCACTCAAACACATGGGTAGCCAACCCATGCATTTTCATTAAAAAAGACAAAACAAAAAGGCTTGCAGGTCTTCCTGTGATAAGTTAACTTCTAGACTGGTCTCTGAATGGACCGGTCTCACTTTTTCATCATCAAGATGCAGGTATGGATGAGGTGGTTCCTTCTACCTCAGGTACAGAAAGCTGGGGAAAGCATTACTCCCATCCTCACAGGGAAAAGACGACAACCTAAAAGAATCATAACTTTTCTTAAATCAGAGAGCTGAGGTCACAGAGTAAACAACTAGCCTGGAACTTAAGGAAAGACAGACTCTTCTTCCAAGGAAAACAGGAAGTGAGTACAGCTCACCTTTGGCAAAGCACAGGAAGAAGGGATGGCGAGTGCTTTCCAAGTGGATATAGAACAAGTGAGTATGTACCTCAGGAAGAACTGAGTCATAAGTTTTAACAAATTGCTAGAGGCTGAAGGTGGAGGGTGAGAGTGAAGGACCCCTGGGAGCCACAGACACAAGGGGTGTTGACACCCACTCACAGGTTCTCCTCCACAAACGTCCACTGGGCTTTCATGAGAAAGACTGGGGGCAGGGCATGGATGGCAGCAAACCACCCTTGAGGTGCGCAGGCCTGGAAGAGGGGAGTCGACTCAGAAAAGGCATGAAAGCTGCCAGCACCTTCTCCCTCACAGCAAAAATCATAAGTTTTGGGGGAAGAGCAAAGAAAGATAAAACCCCTCTGGCCTTAGTGGAGAGGCAGGAAACCATCCTGAGCTGAGATCACTGAGGTGTCCTGCGGCTGGGGAAGGGGCAAGACTCCTGAAACTCAGAGTCATAGGGCCTAAGATGAACCTGGGCCAGGGCAACAAAGGGTCCCCCCAACACAGCTAGCAAGTAGCCTGTAGCTGAGGGAGGGGCGGGAACATGGAGACGGACACCCTCTGAGGGGCAGGCCCCTAGGGAGGCTGGAAGCTGGGGGTGGCACAGGAACACTGAGAAAACCCTCCAACAGCCAGACCTCACTTTAAGTACACAGGAACACTAAACTAAGCGCAACTCCTGATAAACTCAGCGCAATCTCCACTGTCTGAACGGCAGTGTCTGGCATTCAATAAAAAATTATGAGGGCTGGCCGAGTGGCGCGTTGGTTAAGAGCTGGCTTGGGACGCCAGAGGGCCCCGGTTCGGATCCCACATATGAGGGCCAGTGACACTGCCCTCCTCAGGTAAGATGCTGAACAACAGCTCAACCTGGAGCTGGGCTGCCGTGAGTCGCTGGCGACGGCGTGGGCTGCAGTCCCCTGCTGCAGTGGGTTGCCATGGGCTACCGTGTGTGGCCGGCAGCCAGCATGAACGGCCAGCAGCCTCCACAACTAGACTGAAGAACAAAAAAACCCCAGCAACTTGTCTGTTCCCCTTCCCCCAATTCCCCAATAAAATTAAAAAAAAAAATCTAAAAAAAAAAAAAATTATGAGACACACAAAAAGGCAAGGAAAAAACCCACTGTTGAGAGGCAAAGCAATCAGCAGAATCAGATTCAGATGACTTAGACAGTGGCACTGTCAGAAGAGAGTTTAAAATAACCATGATTAATATGTCAAAGGTTCTACCAGAAAATGTGGACAGCACACATAAACAGGTGGGGAACTTCGGCAGAGAGGTAGAAATGATTAAGAAGGAGTCAATGGGAACGTTAGACATAAGAAGCACAGGGGCAGAGATGAAGAGTAGCTTTGCTGGGCTTAGCTCAGTGGAGGAAAGGATTCAGTGACCTTAAAGATAGATTAATTCCTCAAATTGAAGCATAAATTGGGAAAAGAACAGAACAGAGTGTCCATAAGCTGTGGGATGA